TTAGTGAGGATATTCGTTATAGTAAAAAGAAAGTCTAAATAGCTTTAATAGCGTTAGAAAAGGTAGAGGCCTGGGCTTATAACCTGTGGGTGATGTAGGTGGCGGCAAGCAACGAGATAATATCTATTGATATTGGTGATGTGTCGCTAGGAAAAAGGGACTGCTGGCTGGCAAGGTGAAGAGGCTGGATATCTGGCTGGCAGCGGCCACGTGACCAGACCAACAGAAGGAGCTGGATGTAACCGAGCAAGTTCGTGTTAAATTCTTTAGCACGTAAAGGACCTGATGAGTCGTTACATAGAGCCTATGAGGTTACGCACAGCTTAAGCCATGCCACGACAGAGGTCTACATGCAAACGTCTTGCGCAGACTTGCCCTGAAGACAAGGTGCACACGATAAAGGAGCAAATGAGCCAAAGCAGCCCTATTCAGCTAGTGTTTCTTCAGTCGCGTCCTACATAGTTCCTTTTTTCCACGCCCGGCAGATAAACGATGTAGGAAAAGAGCCAGTTGGTCAGTATGACTGTGTTATACAGCCAGACAACGTGACTACTCACCCCCTGGCGATTCCAACCCATGTGGGTCACTTTGATTTCACCTAGGCCTTGCCTTGGCCTCACCCTAATATCATCCTGGCCTCACCCTGGCCTCACCCAGGTTCTCGTGGAAGGTAAGCAAAAGCGGCGAGGCTCACCAAGCTCACCCTATTGGCTAGAGGGTGACAACCTGAAGAAGCTCCGAACGCAGATTCCACGGAATGGCAAATGTGGACATCCCTTTATACGTGATCCAGTTCCGTTTGATCCCCACTACGTGCTCGAGTATCTTCCAGCATCCGCTTGAAGGATCATCTTGAACAGCTCGATGTCGTTTCTTGCGTCCGTAGCACTAGTCTTTGGGGTTCTTCCGTTGACCACGCAGTCATAAAACTCCAGAAACTCGTTCGTGTACGGATCTTGATATGTCTTCCTGACCGTCCGCTCCTGAAACCCGTCCTTGCCCACCAACTCCCGGATAGTCATCGTGACAGGCAATCCCTTGACATAAGGGGTGTCGAAGTTGACGCGGACAATCTTGTTGGGAGAGTAGACTTCAATGTGGGCGTCGAACTGAGGAACGTTGCTGAAACCGGATTCGTACGTGACGGGAAAGTCATCGTAATTGAAGAGGACGCTGAAAATTCCCGGGAACGTCAAAACTGCCCCGGCGACGCTCTTGGGCATGCCGATGATTTCTCTCATGGCGGATAGATCGTGAGTCCCGAGTCTACAGTGTTGTCAATAAAGAGTTTCTAGATTCCTCGAGGCATATTTGACGTACCCCCCAAGAAGCCTCAACATCATCCGTGACTCGGAGGCGATGGGTACCCCAAACTCCTTCCCAATGGCTTGCTCCGAGATGTCTTCCTCACGCTTCAGTCGGTCTTGGGTGTCAGTATCACTGTAGTCGCTAAACTTGACAGGAAATGTGCCGGATTGGCCCACGAAGGTTGAGTTGGGTCCAATGATGTCTCGGACCCGGGCGTACTGGATCTTGTCCATACCACCGACTTCCTCTACCGCGTCCGTGAAGGCCGTTGCGAACCGACGCATGGTACCGACCATGACTTTGCCTTTTGACTTCCTCTCTGCCTCAATGAGAAGATCGATATCGCGGAAGCAAACTGACACAGGCTTCTCGATAAGAACATACTTGTCGCTTTTGAGCGCCAATATGCCATGGTCGACATGGTATGCGTCCGCGTTGGCGATTACCACAACGTCGACGTCGGGCGACGAGCACAGCTCTGCCGCGTCTGTGGTTGTCTTTGGCGTCCCCCCTTGAACCTTCCTGGCACAGTGTGCAAGGGATTGGTGGGATATGTCGCATAGATACGTCGTCTGGAAGTGCTCATAGAGGAAGTTGAGGTTGGAGAGGTGGTTGACTTGAGTGATCTCGCCACAGCCAATGATGCCCACTCTCAAAACACGCGTTTTCTGTTGGGAGGCCATGTTTGCGACTAATACAATTGAATATGCCAAATAGAGACTGATCTTTGTTTCAACCCGGCGGAGTATGTTCTCTGACGTCAGATGAACCTGGTATCTTCTGAATGTGTGTTTTCTCGAATCCTAGATAGATCTCAATGCTGCTGCCAAGAAAATATTCAATGGAAATTCAGATATTTCGTCGAGCCAATTGTGGGATTGGGCTCCAGCAATGCCGTCACATCGGGTCGATTTGTTGGGCCTCAAGTGACATGTGCCACGTCAAGATGGATCAGAGGCCACTTTTGCTGAGTTCCCTTCATCCAATGATGTTTCGATGGTCGTTGTAGCACTTCAGCTGGCCGACACTAGCTCCTACCAACCCTCTCTAGCAGTAGCAAATTCGACCGCAATGCTTACGGAGAGATTACTTTGGATTATGTAGCCGAGACTTGGGCTGGGAAGCTATTATCGCTGCTGCTATCTCTGCATCAACCCTTGGCACCCGAGTTCCGACGGTCACCGCGTTTTCCCCATGGGGTCGGAACGGGAATTCATGCACAGTGCCACGGAAACAACCGAGTTAGTTGCACTCTGGGCAGTGACAGGAGCTCTTACTGTTATTTATTTAGCCAAACTTTGTCAAAGCAGATAAATCTCAGGGCTCTCCCCCTTTTACGTCGTCCTCGTAGTCATTGCTCTGGCCTTCCAACGGGCATAAATCGTGGTTGCGTCATGCGGTCAACTTGATACAGATTCCGCCCAATCGCGATCGAATCCATATCATGGAAGTATTTCATGGTCTTCTGCTGCATTAATGGCGTGTCATTTGGCCTGATATGGTGTCTATTTCCGAGGCCAAAGGACGTACGCTCGACGACATTCGCGAAATACTCGAGTGCAAGACTGATGCGCCTCTACTCCGCGGAGTGGGGCCTAACGGAGGGCCGAAGTCACGTACGGCATTTCACCCAATGCCTTTACCACCCATGGCCGGCTAGCAATTTATACTGCTTCTCTCTTTTTCACGCAATAGTTGAATCGATATATCGACTGCTTTGTCGTACCCGATCCCATCAAGCTTTCCCATCGAACCAATGGCATTCTCAATTACGATGTGCCATTGAAAAGACATTGTCACATCATAATGCCGTACTCGTAGTCCAAATAACAGCGCAGGTTATGACTGTCATTAATGTGGTAATCCTCCATGCAATCTTTTGGAACGCCATGGCAATAGACTGTTTATGCCTAACTCATCGATCATTCCCGGTACCTGTTCCGGAAGATATCGCAATTTGCTTACCTCGCTTTCAAAACCTTCCTCATGGCTCAGATTCAGGTTACCGATCGTCTAGAGGAAATTTCCCATCGCCATAAGGCAATAGAATTCCGTGACTCGGATCCCCTCGGCCCAAGGCATGATCCCGCTCTCCATACGTCCGGCGGCAACGTCTGATTTCACAGTATCCATCTCGGAGTAAAAGTTCGCGTCCGGGCCTGTCGAATTTGAACTTCGAAGACTTCAGCTATGGTGCCGGCGATTCTATCCATCTATCTTTGGAGGTAGTGGTGCATTGCACTGTAAAAAGAGCTAGGAACTGAAGCTTTAGCACCTTCAACGACGACGTAACCGTTGCTTCGTTCAATCCTATAAACTCTGTGGCGAACTTTACCTAAGCTAAAGGAATCACGATACACTGATTTCTACTTGGGTAGAGAAGAAGAACTGAAGTGGTGATTCTTACATTATTTGATAGCGTTTGCGTTTGCGTGGCAGCAATGTTGGGCTTATGGGCCCTTTTGCCCAACTAAAGGGCCAGGGCCAAGATCGTAAGAGATATACTGTAGACGCTGATGTCAAAAGGCTTCCGGTATCATTATCAGTCTTAAAGTTCTTTAACAAGGCGGAATTCAGAACTCAGGGAGATGATTTCCATGTTCATGGCGAAATCGCAGACGGTTCAGTGGATGTCTTCAACCAGTTTTACTGAGTGTACGACCTTCACGAGAGACCGCATGGTAGGAAAGAAGCGCGTCTACATGGTTTTCGTTACGGAGACACTATTCTTTCATGCAGCATCAAGCACTTCCCGGGCTCCTTCACGGCGATGATGAGGGGGTTTCGCAAAATACGTGCTTGCCAGCATGCATGGCGTGGAGGCAGTCCTTCTTGTGAAATTAATCAGTGGATTCTCCTGTGACTGGAGAATGTTGATCTTGCAAGCTGTAAGCACGTGAAACTCTCGGAACAGTTACCTGTTACCGACATCGCCTGCTCTCTGGTTCTGTACCATTGATTGAAGTCACGCCTCTACAGGAGAGACAACGGTAGAATCAGAGCCCAGAGAAAAATTGCCAAAGATCAATGGTCGATAGACGATAGTCCATCTGCGACTTCCTGCGACGATCGAAGGCCAGCAAGTATTAACATGTGACAGAATAGGGTCTTCGGTATGTGGAGACATTTTCAGTAAGTTTTCACAAGGCCTTAGGAATAATGATTGAAGTGCTGAGGGGTCATAATGACTCGGGGTTGTTAGGATTGGCTGCGACTGCGAGGCTCTAGTATGAGTTGGGGGATGTTTCTTTCTGAATTGAGCTGGGACAGTTTCATTTGAATGCTTATAAGTAATAACCAGGAGCCAATGCTTAAGAATCCTATATTTCTATCAAGCCCATAACGAGCATCCCATCGGAATCCCAATAGCCATGGGTCAGGTCCGAGACATATTCCTTCAGGTTGAATCTGACTCGCTCATTTTCATGCTATTCGACAATCGAGAGTCCATCTGGTATTTTCAAACTGAAACTATCACGGCTTAATAGAGCATGGTCTGACTCACATTGACGAGCAGCATCTGGCTTGTGGTTGCATACCAGGTCAGTAGCCAACTGATAAGCGGCCAACGCCGATGCGGTGCTGTGGGCTCCGCCCCCACCTCCCCCCCCCCCCCCCCGCCTTTGTGCGGGGTGCAACTTATCGTCTTGGATCAATCGCCCCGCATTCTTAATACCCATGGTCAATCGTCGGAAATTGGTCTCTTTGCAATGAGGATTTAAACTCTTTCCGAGGCCACCCTTTTTTCTCGCATGAGTCAAGTCGGCTCAATCATATTTACACCTCACATAAACTTTCAAGCCAGCTGATCATGGGTACCTCAACCGTTGTTACAGGGCCGGAAACTACCTTACTCCGCTTGGCATCGGGGAATGGACCGGTCACACGCCGGGTCTTGTGCACTCCGCTCCGCGACGCACTTTCTACTGAGATTCCGATCATTGATATCTCGCTCGCATTCCGTACGGACCTTGCCGACCGTATTTCTGTTGCGCAGCAGGTTCGCAACGCCTCGACAACCTGCGGTTTTTTCTACCTGACCAACCATGGTATCGACCCGTGCATCATCGACTCAGCATTTACAGCATGCTTAGACTACTTTCGCCAGGATAAGAATGCAAAGATGCGTTCGTGGGTGGGAAAGAGTCGTTACTTTAACGGCTACAAACCACCTGGATCCCAGCGCATAAACAAATCAGAAAGCGTTGACGTCCGCGAGTCGTTCGGCTGGTCTTACGATCCCCGCTATGACCCTGACGTGAAGGATGTGCGGGCCATTCCTGACGAGGCCAGGCAATTCCTGCGAATGGAGGACTTTCACTGGGATGGGACTTCCAGCACGCCATTTTTCAAGAAAGCCGTCATTCGGTACTGGCAATCCTGTATGAAGCTTGCACGCGTGTTGGTTCGCACTTTTGCGCTGTCTCTCGAGCTGCCAGAGGATTATTTCGATGCAAAGTTTGCGTATCCTGACGCAGCCCTGGCGCTGAACTATTACCCACCTTTGCCCCAAGCTTCGGACAATGTCGACTCAGCTGGAAACCGTCAGGTCTCCATAGGTTCGCACACAGACTTCCAGCTCTTCACCATACTGTGGCAAGATGCTGTTGGGGGGTTACAGGTGCTGAATCGCGAGGGCCAATGGATCAGGGCTGCGCCGATACCAGGGACACTTGTCGTCAACATTGCCGATTACATGCAGCGGATAACCAACGACCTGTACGTCAGTACTGTTCATCGAGCCCAAAACTTGAGTGGCAGCGAACGCATCAGTATGCCCTTCTTCTTTGGGTTCGGGTTACATGAAAGCTGTGGAGTTATTGACACTTGTGTAAAACATGGAGATGTGCCCAAATACAGCGAGATTGGCTGCCAGCAGTGGGTGCAAAGAAGAGCGCAAGCAATGCATAAGGTAGAATCTGATGATGAAAATGAGGAATAATCTGCATTTCTCTACTCTGTCACTCTGAATGCGCACAGCAGGGGATTTGAAGTTCTGCTGGCTAGTTCACACGACACAGCTAGCCCAAATGCTCTCGTCTATGACAACGTAGGGTCCGAAAATGAAGTTTTTCAACACTCTGAAAGATATAACATTCAGCGAGTAGAATCACAGCCCGTTTCAGTCGAGATTCAAGATCTTTAGGATGGCCCATGTAGAAATATGCATACATTCACCGTAGCTAAACGAGGTTTAAGAAATTTCTACCATATAGGACTCTGTTTGAAAAAGGTTTCCAATGCCTTTTCAACTAGTGTATTACAACGACGCAAGTAAGAATATGTTTCATCGTCTAATATTAGCAAGTTTTGATGAAGTGATTGAAACATTATGTTGAAGTCCCAAGGTATATAGCAGTCACCAAAGTACAAACAAGAAGGGGGTGCCTCCACTTTTATGTTGTACTTTGTCACATTATAGACATTGATTGTCATTGGTACAGTGGAGTAAGAGCGCCATTAAGTATTATGCAATCGAATTACAGTAACTAGTTTTGTTATAAGCGACGCTGAGGATTTCCGGTGGCGACTGTGCAATTCGGCAGCCTAGTTAAGGAATCCGGCTTGCTGGCCAACTAGTGCTGGTTATTTGTGAACCCAGCGTGAGTTTGTTACGTTAGGGTATCTTATTCAACGCCTATAGCCAATACGATATATGGATCTTTTGACGGCATCTGTCTTTTTGTGTCTTTCGTAGGTAGGTTAGGGTCCAGGTTGCTGGGTGTAACACATCCACACTCCGGAGCCTACACATTCTAGCTGCTCAAACAGTGCGGAGATATGTTTCAGTATCTTTAACAATTGGAAAATGGAAATGTAAACTTCGACTTTCATGTGAATGCTATATAGTGGTGCTCTTTGAGGATTTCTTTGACACAAGGCATCGCATATAATAATAGACGCATCGCTATTGATATAAGATTTGGCCATTCTCACGTCTACAATTGTGAGACATGGTACGGAGAAGCCAGATCTCAACGTTTTGCGTCTCCATTATTGTACTGCGGTCGAAAACTGCCAGACATAGAAAATTCGAGAACTTGATCTTCAGCAATCTGATTACGTCTGTAGCAGTTTTTGGTCTTCCGCGATGGTAAAAGCGTCTTAGACGGAACCACTCCTTGGATATGTCATCAATAAGTATCAACAAACCAGAATTATTGCAACTCTGCTCTTCCAGCCTGCTTCGTGATAGTGAAAGCCGGTGTATGGTTCAGAATAGATAACTCAGAAGTGATTGTTATGGTTTCAACAGCATTTGTTATCTCTATAGAGCACCCTACGGCATATATCCCTCTATTAATTACTGAAAAGCCTCCAGAAAAATTTCGAATCCCATTAGCATCCTTATTGTACTTCAAACAATACACGTTGTGTGTGGGTGGTGTTTGATGCTAAGTAACATCACGCCGGGTTGCCTTTTGACTGAGGGACGGTGCATATAACATCTGGACCAGCATTGCAGTATGAATCAGCCGCTATAGGCTTTTCACAAAACTTTCCAGAAACAGGTCAAGCATGATTTCCGGCGAGGGAATACGATTACAAGTCAAGATCTTGGCCTGCACAGCTACTCCGGATACACAGTGAGTGATACATACGCCATTAGTACTAAGCCGCTTTCCGTCGACGCCCGGCTTGAATCATTTAAGAAATTAGCCTCTGGTTGTTTCAAAACAACTTTCATCCTACCGTTATAGTCTGGGATAACTAAGAAACCAGTTACATTTCTCTTTCGTTTCCGCAAAGCATCCTGTCTTTTCAGATATGTTCTTGAACTGAATAAACCGAAATGAGCGATAGATCAAGTAAATTGATCTAGAAATGTGTCATTGAATTTCAAAGCTATCCTAGATGTCATTTCTTTTACAACGACTACTTTTGTGACGTGTTAGAAAGAGAAGGGTTTTATCTGCTCAATGCCAACGACAGCCAATATATGTTTTACAAGGATATGTTTGAGTAAAAACTCTACTAATGCACATTTCAACTGATAAATCTGTAGTGAACCTGGACAGTGTATGGTTGGACGACTTACGGGATGCCTCGACTCCGGGTGTTGGACTCAACAATGAGCTGACATTTTCTCACCAAACATGAAACCCGCGAATTGATAGAGATATAGACAAGCTACTCAGGTTCAAATGCGTACGGAGAGTTTATGCCCTCGGTATCCTGCAGCGTGCTAGTCAGGTTGAAATCCTTTTGGACTAGTCATGTCAGCCACATGCCAATATTCCAGGGCGGTAGATGCGCATGGCTGTTTGGTCATTCTCCGCCGAAAAGAAAAGGTCAAGGCGTAAATGTTTCCATAGCAATTGCTTTCTGGGGCCCCCTTGTGTTGATTATCCCCACGTACCACTATGAAACCGTTGCTGACGGCAAACCACGAGTTTCTCGGATCTAAGTTCAAGGGCGCAATGCACAGCTTTGAATTCACTAGGACGCAAACAACGTTGAAATTGCGAGCACAGGGAGGCATGCTCATTGGTGTGGCTCCAAAAAGGTTTGGCATGAAACAACCTGGAGGCTCGCTATGGAATTTGAACTCCCAATTTGACAGCTGGCGACAAACATGATGCTGCAAGACATGAGTCGAGATAGCATTAAGCTTTTGAGAATTGTCGGCGTCGAAACTTTTATCAGGCCCTCAGGGGGGTCAGAGAGGGATATTTCTCTTCATCTAGTGGAACTGATATAGTCTCTTCTCATCTCACGATGGCAAAAGTCTAGCTAGTGTGATCGCTTTTTTTGAAGAGGCATCTTACTATCATGTCAGCCGCGGCTCAACGCGGGAGTCTGGCGCCTCTACCAGACTATCATCGTCGCGGTCTCATAATATTAACCTCATTTTCTTTCCTCTCTGCAGCAACTACCTCTCTCCTATGGCTCTTCATTACATACAAATTTTTGTCATACAGAAGACTAAAATGGGCCCACACGAGACGAGAAAAAGAACTGAGAGGGAACTATTCCACGATTGGCCTACCCGACCTTACTCTTGGGATAGATGCTCCATGTGCAGGGGGCACCGGATTTTCCCGCCTCACAGAGCTTGATAGGTTGGCTAATTCGCCAGAGCGCAGCAATGAGGCCCAGAGTAAAAGACCGGAGGAACAAGAAGAGAAGAGGGAAGAAGTAGAGGTTCGCAGTCCATTCCCAATCCTCGTCTACAATCTTCTCTTGGCAGATATGATGGAAGCTGTTGCCTATGCTCTCAGTATTTACTGGGTAGCGAGCGATGGTATAATCGCACCTTCTCCTGTTTGCTGGGCCCAGGGATGGCTGGGCTCGACAAGTAACCTAGCCGCTAGTCTATTCCTTTCAGCAATATCTGTGAACACTTTCCTGACCGTGGGCTTGGGATACAAGCTACAGCCATGGACTGTGTATGCCACCGTTATTGCTCTCTGGGTATTCGATTTTGGCATCAATGGTGCTGGAGTGATAACCTCTGTGCTTCACCCGGCGACCCCTAATGAGTCTTTCTTCATGAGGGCTAATGTCTGGTAAGCCTTCTTCTATGTGGTGTGGATCAATGGAATTATTAAACTAATCTCAATCCAATCCAGGTGCTGGATTTCAACAGCCTACGATTCCTGGCGCTTGTGGGCTCATTACTTCTGGATCATGGTCTCGATTGCCATAACGATCTCTCTTTATTCTTTTGTCTTCTTTACACTGTGGCGTCAAAAGCGAAATTGTCGTCATCTACCGGACAGAAGACAGATAAATAGCGGAGATTTCAGTAGTCGACAATCGGATTCCCGACGGCTGACCGGATATCACCCTGCATTTCTCGTCTATCCGTTTATATATATCGGGTGCAGTGTACCTCTCGTGGTTGGTCGTGTTACGTCTCTTCTAGGCATTGATCTTGGTATTTACTATTTCGCCTTTGCGGGATCAATTCTGGCCGCCAATGGTCTTTTCAACTCTATCTTGTGGATATCAACAATACTCTTCAGCGCTCCACAAGACGTCTGCGACACAGGATTGGACAGATTCGCTTTCGTAAGAACACCTATACGAGATTTTGGTCACACAGTGGTTATCAGTGGACCTTCCAGCACAAGAGTTCCTCTAGCGCAAATCTCCCCAACGGATAACAAGAAGGATTGGTGGTGGTGGAGGCATGGGGGTATGAGGGGTTGGGGAAGGTCTTATGCGAGTACGCATGACATGCGTATAGTACACGCGGTCGAAATGCATGGTCCGCAGCCGTCAAGGCCTGTTGAGGGACCTTTCATTCAGATGGAAGTTGTAACGGCGGTTACGAGCGAGCAGATAGAGCCTAGTATAGCGACCGAGGGTAAGAAATGAGATGGCATTGGCATTGCACTCTATGTGAAGAGTCATAGGGAGCTCCGCCAAGCATTGAGTTTGGAAGTGGAAACCAGAAAGTGTCCTTTAGACTAGCAAACATAATGATGTGACCTCAAGGTAATTACAGTAAAGCTTACCAGTATCTTCATCCCATCCCTTGAATGGTATCCTGTAATGCGCACAAGAATTATTCTGCAGATGAGTGGTTTACCCTCTCACGAAGGCGGCATTTGCAATGGTCGGAAGACTGGTGTCAGATATATAGACAACCACTAACTTTGTGGAGATTTCAGAGGGAAAGTGAGTAACTCAATGTGTTGGCATCACATGTGGATATCCTTTCGGATGGGCGATAATTTATCGTATACTCAGTGAAGTAGCGATAGTGATAATGATGAAGAGAAAAGAGCAACTATCGCCATTGCCAGCGCCGTTGGTATATGGGTATACGACTTGGGGAGGTCACGTGGTGACCTTCGGGCTGGCCCATTTCTCCGGTGGATGACTGGCATCCCGACACAAGGGTCTTTAGTTATGTCTTCAAAGTTGACTAACCCCCTCTCACTGATGTGGGATTCACATTCCATTAAGCAAGGTTCTTGGCTCACTATTGTTCTTGTTTGATTTATTTATTTAGAACTCCAGTACTCATCCTAATCCTCCTTTAGTCATCTGGCCATCCCTTACTACCCGTATCAAAAATAACATCCATTGCACGAGAGATGAATGGCACAGCCATCCTAGCTTCAGGTCCCCCACAAATAGCCAGGTATTGCAAACAGTATTAATAAACCATGTCTACGGCCCATGCCGTAAATCTTACCCCCAAAGTAGGTAATAAGCGTCGCCGGGCTTCCGGCATGTACGGGAGAAGGCGTGCTGTTGCGGCATGCGGGCCATGCCAGGTCCGTAAGACAAAATGAGACAACGTCTAGCCGACATGAGTACTTTGCCAGCGGTCCAATGGAGGCCACTTACTTGCCCTGACACTTCGAATGAGCATTTGACGTATGGATCTTCTCGAACTTTCTTTTTCACACATTTTCGGGTTTCGAATCTTACCTTCGTTGGACCAGAACTTTGACCCCGCAAGCTTAGCGGTTTTAGATCGCATCAACTATGCCGTCTCGCTTTTGGAAATCCGATCACGGATATTACTTATCAACTCGATAATAGTATTGGTGTAACCATCATTGTTTCTCACATCCACCAGTGAGCCGCAAACGTGAATGAGCGCTGCTGAAAACTAAAATTTAGACCATGTCACAAATGGTTTACCTGAGGGCGGCAATATAATACATCTTGGCATTCCAAAACCAGAATTTGCTAGTCCTAATTCTGAGGCAAAATTCATAGGGCCAATCTTTGAAGATATTGCTCCTAACATTGAACCGTCTCTTCTCGAGTCCAGGGGAATAACTCTAATGTTGCGAAAAGGTTTCTCAGCATACGTTCTTTTTTCAGAATTCAATACTGGATGTTAAGGACCTCAGGTGTTATGCCAGAGATACAGCTCAATGTAGGTCGCGATGAGACGGACCCTCATGTCGTGTGGCGACTTGAAAGTCGGCAGGGGTTCAATCTCTTGATGTTGCCTGTGCACCGACTTGCTTTGAAGGCCCCTATTCATCCGAGCTCAGATACAATGGTACACCGGAATCAATCCCGGCTCCCGCTTCAGGTTCCACTGATCCGGACACAGCCCATGCTTATGATCTCGCAGCAAAGAAACAGATATGACTAGTAAGACATGCGTAGTACGGGTGCAATGTCTATTTATCTTGGTGGTGTTCGAATGTATATCCCTCAACTGCTTTAGGCCCAATTCTACTTCAACCAGGATTGTGTGCAATCCAAAAGTCTGCTGTGACGCTAAGTCAACCCACCCACTTTTCGGCACCCCCCGCATTTCGGCAACCCCCACTTACACCAAAATACACCAAAATACACCAAAACTACCCCCTTTTTATAATAGCTATAACTAAGCAACTATAGCATATATAATTCTAGGAAAATTAATTTATATAGATAATTACTTAATAAGTCTATATTAAGCTTTTATACTTTACTTTAGTAACTATAGCTTAAAGTAGACTAGTTTTTATAAGAAAGTACTAAAATACTAGTAAAATATATTTAACTATAACTTAATAAATATATATACTATAAACTTAAAACTTTATATATAGTATTATTATACTATATAGTTTATAGTAATAATATTTATATAGTATATATATACTTATATAAGCTTAAATAATAAACTTAAAAATTTCCTTATAAAAAGTTTCTTAGTAAAGTATATAATTATAGTTTATTTTATATTAACCTTATAAATATTAAAGATTTAAGAATAATAATACTATAAATAGACTTAAATAGTATTATATAAAGTTTTAAGCTTTTTTATTTAATAACTAAGAAGTTATATTACTTTTTTAAGTATTAAGAAATACTAGTAAAATATACTATAACCTTAACACTTTTACTACTTTAACTTTAAGTAGCTAGTACTTTACTTATACTAAGTAAAAAGACTTTATAAGCTATATATAGGTCTTTTAAGTAATTATATATAGATATAAATTTTTCTATAATTATTAAGGCTAAGGTTATTAAGTTAGCGCTATAGTGAAAAAGAGCAGTTTTGGTGTAAATGGGTGCCGAAATGTGGGGGGTGCCGAAATGTGGATGCTTTGACTTATAGCCAACGAAACCCGCGTATGACTGCACAAAACACGTTTCCAGCCAAGGCTCTACTGGTCCTATATGAAGCTTCAGTGGTGACTTTCATGACAAAATATAAGTTCGGTTTGAATAGGAGTTAGAGCATATCCATGTATAATAATGAACCACAATGCAAGATTCCATGGCATTCGAGTGGCATCAACTGTTTGGGCTACCACGACTTCTTCGCCTCCTTCCGAGATTGCTTCCCCAGCTGCTAAGTCAGCGGAAGGAATAGTCTGTAGGATGATGTTCAGCCAAAGGAATACGATAGTTAATTTTACTACATGGTAAAGATTTTGTTGCGGAGAATGATTAATCGCGTGGTATCTTTCTTTAGCCACGATGGCAGTAAACATGGATTCGAGACGTAGCAAGAGTGGTAAAGTTTTGCTCACAATTCGACAAAAGGTCTCGAAATAAATCCAGCTCCGGGCTGGAATCTTCATGCTTGGATCATAACGTGTGCTGATTTTTTCTAAGATTCTTGCACATTTCTTCGCAGATTGGTTGGGAGAATCAAGAGATGTCAAGAGCTGTCTAACGATAAGCCCGTCCACTTTGTCCAGAATCGTGCCATTCTCTACGTCATAAGTCTAGCGGGGAGATGCCTCAAACTGTCGGTTGAGCTGCTGCTGGACGCTAACCCGCACCATCGCCATCACGGAACGTGGTTTACAGCCAGAGCGGCAACGACCCGTGCTTTACTGGTCTTGGCCGCAGTCAGAAGCGGTAAGTTCCTTCGACTGCCTGAGCGATGGAAACAAGCAGCCGGAGCGGCCACATGGGCTTTGCAGCGGGGGTATGGCGAAGCTCCGGATCCTGCGTAGGGCTGCGTCCGTGCTTGAAGGTCCTCATCGGTCAAGTCATCGGGGCCGGGGGGTAAAAGAGTCCGAAAGGGGTACTCGGCGTTGTCGTGCGCCACATGTCAATTGAGTTATTTCTATAAATGTATTCTATGCTTGACCCCGAAAGTGGCTTTAGTGTTCCACATGGTGGGCTTTTCTTGCTAAACTTGAGAAACGGCCGCCAGGTGCTCTGACACTTCAACGTCTTACTGTAATCAGTTGACATGTTGACTACGTGTTGAAACCGCAAAACAAACCTGCATACAAGTATTCTGGCTTGTATATTGTCATGCAAGTGCAAACAAGTAGTGCAACAACAAAGATTGTCTTACACATGATTGTTATGAATCCTTCTCTTCAGCACCGCACACATTCGTTAGCATGCATGTACGTCTAAGCGTCTTCATTTTGCAGACAACCTAGTGTGATCAGATATGTAGCATTGCATAATTATTATCAAAGCCGAACGCTTCGCTGTTCAGGTGGTCAAAAGCACATAGCGGAAGTAATGTGCGCCTGAAAAGCGACAAAATCGCAATAAGAATATAAGAAAGAAACAGAAGATCCATGTCGATTGATGTTCTTTCACCAAACCGTACATGAAGTCACTTCTTTGGGCCCCTAACATAAGCAAGTAATGCAAGTCCTGTGTCGACTCTCCAACTTTTTGTGTCTCAGTCGGCAGGCCGCATGCCACTCCCTCCCCCTTCCTCTGAGACACCCTCTGATGAGCCCCTACCATCCACTATCCGGCCTAGGGGGCCACGTTCTATTGACGCTTGCCGGCGTCATCCATGCAAGCCTCTTTTTCAACTTGGATCTCTCCGGGCTTCCTCACCTTGTTCCGGTTGTATCCCGCATTCGCGCATCCATTAAACTTCTTGCTTGGCCCAGGCCGAACACCTGCCTGTCAACCTAGCTTCGTTTCGGCTGCCTCCGGTCGGACGTCTGTTCGCGGGAAACGCTCGGTCAGCCAATCGGCCTATTTCGGCAGCTACCGACACGATGATGAGTGCAAGTTGAATGCAACATGCCTCGTCTGCAGTTGCATCTGCGATCCAGGGGAAGGTTGCTATCATTATTTCCAAGTAGACGGTTCAAAGAATCTTCAACCTCTGCAATAGCTGAACTCTCATCTGCCAGGCTTTCTAACAGAGTCTTTAGCAGCTTGCTTTTTGTCTCTCTTGTTTGGGTGGTACTTGATAGGCTTTTGTCCGGTTTTCAGACATTGATACCAGTGTTTTTGGAGTAGAATGCAAATAACAATTTTGACAATCCGGAATCAAAAACATATCGGATAATCTTCTATTACCGAAAATACACTCATATATCCGACTGAAGGCACTAAAAATACAATTTCCATTTAAATTTAAAAAAATAAAAATTAGAAAAGGCGTAAACATGAACGGAGTAGGTCTGTCGGTGTACACGTCGTCGAGTGACCGAGCGCTTCTAAGTACCTGGGATGATATGGATAAAGCTCAGCCACGCCAAAAGAGAAAAAGGTGGGATGAAGCTATTGTCACGCCGCCCTCTCGGGGTCCTTGTTCCAGTCGGCCTCCTTTACCCGGACATATTCTCATACAATCAACCACACTGACCTCTTTCAAGCTACTTCTCCCTCAAAAGGGTTTTCTACAGCTTCCCCCCTCCCTCTACCCCAACTTTTACTTTCCTTCTTCGCCGTTGATCGTGCATCTTTCTCTACAGCTACGACTTCATCCACCACTGAAAAAACACAGTGTATCCTATCTCGACATAGGTCAAATACCTGTCTGGCCCAGCACACAGCATATCCTTAGGGACAGTTCACCAACCACTTCCGGCTGGTGCACCCGTCATGTCATCATACACATCGTCAAGATCTACGAGGTCTTCGAGATGCAGCTGTGATGATTGCGTGGATTACAGGTATGAAAGGACCTGTCACGTAGACGGATGCTCCAGAAAACATGCCTTTGTACGCATCGACCCTACCAGACCCGACATCAGAATCTATTCGGACTTTTGCGTCGATCGTTAGTTATTCCTCTCGGATCTAGGTATCCATGAAGCTGACGGTGACTATCTAGACACCTGCAAGTACTGTTTACTCGGATTAGAGATGTGCAGTCGACCAAAAGACCCTCTTTACCGCTTCTGCGATGACCGTCAGTCCCTTCCGCCCTTCCGTCCTTCACTCTTTGGTCGAAGTCCCCTAATTCCTGTGCAGACCGGAGATGTGGGGTGCCGGGCTGCGATCGGACCGGAGATTGCCCACCGGGCGTGCCCTTGCCGTGGAAATGTCCGGAACGTGAGTTTCAATCGCTCTAAAGCGCAGGCCATGCATGCCACTAACGCGCAGTACGGACAGACCAGTGCTACGTCGAAAACTGTTACAAGACCAGAGACAAGCTGTACGGGTATTGCCCCGACCACCGATGTCTGGTACCGAGCTGTTTCGAGACACGAACTATTGACTCTGAGTACTGTGTTGACCACGTTTCTAAAATATGCCGGGAGCCGAAATGCCGAGAACCTGTGCATGCCGATCATCGCTGCTTGATGCACCAGAAATGCACTGTGAAAAAGTGCACGAAATTCAGACTCAAGAAATCAGATGGTGTTTATTGGGACTTTTGCGAGCAGCGTAAGGAACCTCGGCGTTTCGTTTCGTGTTTTTTTTTCTTTTTTTCTTTTCTTGACTCGATATTATTGCTGACTGAGTTATAGACTACACCGAGAACTGCTGTACCTACAAAGGCTGCAAGAGCATTTGCCTTCCAGGTTGTCGAGCCTGTGCGACTCATAAATGCACCTACGAGGGCTGTCTTAATTTCCGATACAACGAAATTGATTCGAAAAGAGTCTTTTGCCGAGATCATGGTTGCGGCGCAGCAAATTGCTACGCAGTAGCCGTCAGTCTTGATGGGGGTGGTTTCAGCCCCTTCTGTCACAGACACACCTGCGTTATTAAAGGATGCGTCGAGATTGCCGATTTTGGAGTTCACTGCCATCGTCATCGCTGCCACTGGAAGTCTTGCGAAAAACCTTGCTTGGAAGGAGGAGAGTACTGTGCGGATCATGAGTGCAGAAAGGATGGATGCCGGAAGATCGTCAGGATTCCACTCGGCTACTGTGATGAGCACTCCTGCAAGATTGACAAGTGCCTAAACTACTGCGATGTCACTTCAGAAAGCATCTGCTTCGAGCACTCAAGGGAAGATCAGTTCCGGCGCATCAAACACTTGGAGGAAAAACTACGAGAGCGACAGTACGATTGTAGTCCTCCTGGCCACCATGACCACCCTTATTTCAACGATCTTCAGGTCCGTCACGACAAGCTTATCAGAGACTATGACGACTGTCTGGTTAGACTCAACGAGTCCCGGGACGAGGTTCGCATTCTACGCAGCACATGGATTTCGGGGGATGACAATCGTCTATGGAGGCAAGAAATCGAGGACTGCAACTCACGGTTACTTGTGGACTTGGAGCGAGAACAGAAGAGAACCGAGCATTGGGAGCGCAAAGCGGTCGAGCTTGGCCGAAGGATTGATGACCTCGAGTGCGTATTGGCAGAAGAGCGGCTGAGACACCCAAAGTCTGATGAATATGTGCGACAGATCGGGGACCTCGTTCGCAAGGTGGAGATACTCGAGGAAGAGCTCCGCATCGAGCGATGCAACAACCACTTGCACGAAGGACGACAGCGCGAGATTGAGAAGCTGCTTTGCACCATTGAGGAGCTCGAGAGGAAGCTCAAAGGTGATCACTTCAAGATAGATGAGCTTATCAGGAAAGTCGACCTGCTGCAGTCAATACTCGCTGGCGAGAAGGAAAAAAGAGAAATTCTTCTCGAAGAGATCGCCAAGCGCGATGATTGCGAAAGGCTGCGACGAGATGACCGTCGTCGACCTAGGAGAGGAAGCTGGGAAAGAAGGTCACGCGACTCGCGCCCTTGGGGTAGCGTTTACTGAGAGGTCAAGCTCTCCAGGCCCACCATTTGAATCTCGTTGATAGGACGCACTTCATGGGAACAACTAATATCTTTTCTTACGACATATATGCATCATGGGCGTTTAATCCTGGTTGGGAGGACAGTTGTTATACCAGCATTTTCTTGTAAAACTCAAGATGGCTTGCAACAGCCGGTAAAAAATACAACTCGATTACAAGATGCTTGGACCGAATCATATCTGGTTTAGGGGTTGTTCTTAGTGTCATCCTGTCTGTCGAGTCACGGAATGCCTCATTGTAACACAAGATGAGCACTCAACGCTGTGTGGCACAAAGAGAGAGATTAAGTAGAATTGTTTAAACATGAACTATTCGACGTGCTTGTCGACTGTATCATGGTGATCTATTTCTATCTGTGGCCGCCAAGGTGCTTCTAACTATGAATATCGGTTGCTGCTGCTCTTTCAAAATCTCCTTTGAGATATCCGCATTGAAGGTATGGAGTCCCTATTACATAGTACTTATTTTACAAACATAGACCTTTATATGTCACACCGTACAAAGTTTCTTTGAAGAAAATGTCGAGGAAACAATGGACTGTCTCGTTTTTTGTAGAATAAAACCGAGTCCGACACAAGGAACACAACAACGCTGATTCAGGGTCCTCAACACAACTATCGCAAAGTGTCTTTGTGAAATATATTATTATTGGATGAAAGATTCGAACTGACTCTAGAGCTTTTTTGAGGTATAATAAACAACATGATTCCGTCGTCACGTCGGCTTCCATCCAATCCGATCCTAGACCATTCAACCCAACAACTTCCACACTGTCATCAAACTCTTCCAAAGCACCCAGCTACGTCTAAACAGTTTCCCGACTCACAATGTGCCGAACACCAAGATACTTGCACGTCTGTCCATGCTCCAACCTGAACTGCCCTCGGCGGGACAATGACCCTATGACGGCAGGAATGCTCCGCCCTGGAAAAGGGCATGTCCTATGGTGTGAGGTTCAGCCACAGACCTGGGACTACTGCGACAGATGGTTTTACGAGCAGCCATACGAGGTCGTTTTGAATGCTTTCATTGACCCCAAAGACCACTGCCCATACTTCATGTGGAAGAACATGAGGCAAACTGACCCATTGTGTCAGGAATGTCTCCAAGAGACAGCTCAAATCCAAGAAGAAAAGCTGTTCAAGCTGCGTGCGCGCTGGGACGACGCGCGGGTTGCAGTACCCTATCAATTTATGCCATCTCAGTTCAAAAATACAGATACACAGACTACGCAGGCTCAAGGTCGACATGCTAACCTTTCCCAGGACCGGGTTCAGTTTGCCCACACAGGCAATTCTAGTGGCAGCGCCAGTGGCAGCACCACCAGAGGCATCGCTGGAAGTATGCAAGCAGCTCAAATTTATGGCCAGCATCTTCCTGGCTCCTCATACCCATCAGCCGAGCCTGAAACTCGTGAGCAGCTGCTAGAGAGAATCAGGTTTCTCAACGAACAAATTGGAAGTCTTGAAGCACTTGAGGAAAGACCGAACCCGCCTCCAGGGAACAGCCTGAGAACCTTTGGCGTCACAAACACAAGAAACCCCTTTGACAGCGTAGGAAAATCTGGCAAACCCGCAATAACAGCCGACAAGTCGTTCCGTCATAGACCAACTTATGGCCCCATTGGGCGGGGTGGTCTACGGCAATTGGTGCAGAGCAGTGAAGCTGACAATAGTTATGCTCCGACCTCGAATTCCTTCGGCGCCATCGGACAGCAACGAAATCCCCCAGGAAACGGCGGAGGCTCTGGTTCTCAGAACTCTCAGCCATGATCCACGTTGAAACAATGACAAAACATCAGAATTTGAGAGTGATGGAACTAGTTGAACTGCAAGGAGCGCACTGGATGCGTTATAATCCGAGGAATGGCTTAGGAAGGGAGCAAAAACGCTTCACCAGATTTATCGAAATACTTGGATATTGTTCTTTTCGTCCAGTTTAAGGCTTTAAAGAAGTCTTCGACTGCTCTTCCGTAGTTACTGTCTTAGGATGTATGAGATATCTGTTGTGACCGCACCGATTAGTGTGAGTTGAGCTTTTGTACCCGAAGTAACTCTCGCTCTCTGAGGCTCACATGAATAATCCCAGCACCATTGGGAGTCAATCCTATTCAAATTAAACAATCAATTTCTTTGGGGGGGGGGGGGGGGGGGCCTTTGGCCATCCCGTGATCAATCAAGATCCTGGACAAGCAACAGTTATGCGTTGCTCACCCACGAGACCGAGATGATGTGCTTAGTCATCAATGGCACCAGTGACCCGAAAACCGCCGCGTCAAATCATCTTTGGGTTGCTATCAATCCCGATACATAGACCGCAAGACATACTCGGTGGCGGAATCATGCCGCCCGCTACGCAGCGTATAGACGAGAGCATCTCTTATGCCGCTATTGATGCGTCAGCGGTCCCGCGCAGGCAGCGGAAAGCCGGTATCGGGGCCTTGCTCACGCTCGTGCTCCTCGTCAACCTGGCTGCTAGCCTGTACCAGCTCCCCCTGAGCAGGGTGATCGAGCGCCGCCTGTGTCGTGAGCACTATCTGATCGCGGACCCATCGGTCATGGATCGAGATGGCAACGTCGAAGAGCGCCTATGCAAGATTGATGTCGTCCAGCAGGGTCTGGCTTGGATCCAGGGAACCATGGAGACTGCCTGGATCGTGGGTGGTGAGCATGGACTCGCGCTAAGTCAAAGCATCCACATTTCGGCACCCCCCACATTTCGGCACCCATTTACACCAAAACTGCTCTTTTTCACTATAGCTCTAACTTAATAACCTTAGCCTTAATAATTATAGGAAAATTTATATCTATATATAATTACTTAAAAGACCTATATATAGCTTATAAAGTCTTTTTACTTAGTATAAGTAAAGTACTAGCTACTTAAAGTTAAAGTAGTAAAAGTGTTAAAGTTATAGTATATTTTACTAGTATTTTTTAATACTTAAAAAAGCAGTATAACTTCTTAGTTATTAAATAGAAAGGCTTAAAACTTAGTATAATACTATTTAGGTCTATATATAGTATTATTCTTCTTAAATCCTTAATATTTATAAGGTTAATATAAAATAAATTATAATTATATACTTTACTAAAAAACTTTTTATAAGAAAATTTTTAAGTTTATTATTTAAGCTTATATAAGTATATATATACTATATAAGTATTACTAATATAAGCTATATAGTATAATAGTACTATATATAAAGTTTTAAGTTTATAGTATATATATTTATTAAGTTATAGTTAAATATATTTTACTAGTATTTTAGTACTTTCTTATAAAAACTAGTCTACTTTAAGCTATAGTTACTAAAGTAAAGTATAAAAGCTTAATATAGACTTATTAAGTAATTATCTATATAAATTAATTTGCCTAGAATTATATATACTATAGTTGCTTAGTTATAGCTATTATAAAAAGGGGGTAGTTTTGGTGTATTTTGGTGTATTTTGGTGTAAGTGGGGGTTGCCGAAATGCGGGGGGTGCCGAAAAGTGGGTGGGTTGACTTATCTGATAAGCGCTTCGCAGCTAACGCCCTTTAGATTTCGTCATGACGATTCCCCTGGGCTTTCTCGCCGAACGATATGGGCGGCGCAGCATTCTCTGTATCAATCTTGCCCCCCGCATCGTCATGCTGTCGTGGGCTGTCATCGTGGGCTATTTCGAACAGATCATGCCAACGAAGGCCATCGTTGCATCGCCGTTTCTATCCATACTGGGTGGCGACTGTGTTTTCAACTCAATCACATATGCAATTGCATCGGGCATCACGGATGATCACGTCCAACGGTGAGTTGAACCTAGGTTCGAAAGCCTCACTTGGGGCATGTTTGTACTGACTGGGCTATCAAGTGCCACATACTTTGGATGGATGAGCTCCGTTTCATATGTTGTCAATTTGCTGGGTCCGGCCCTTGCATCGGCTTCCATGAGTCTACTTCTATGGCTACCGTTCTGGATCGGCATATCCCTCCTTCTTTTGGCCATCCCGACCATATCTCTCATCGACGACTCACCCGAGAGTCACTCTCATTCTTCCATATCCCGAAATGCAGATGATCAAGCGAGGCCTCTGCTGTCATCTCCTGTTCTGAAAGCCCAAGACGCCGATGCATCTCTGCTACGATCTATCGTCCAACGTTTCGGTGCCTTGCGATCCATCATCGCGAGTCGCCCACGCAACATGAGTCTTCTTCTCATCAGCTTCGTCCTCACGTCTCTTGCAAGCTCAGACACTAAGCTGTTGGTACAGTACATCTCAAAGAGGTACGGCTGGACGTTTGCTTCCACAGGCTATCTCTTGTCCGCCAAAGCTGTGGTCAACTTTACACTGCTTACAGTCATCGTTCCCGCAATCTTACGTTCGAGCCAGATGAGGTCGCTTCATATCCCACCCGAAGTGGTCAGCCACCGTATGAATATGTACTATGCCAAGATCTGTTTGGTAATCTCTATACTTGGTGCTTTAGCCATAGCCCTGGCCACACAGATCTGGATATTGGTGCCGTCATTGTTTATTTACGCTCTCGGCTCCGCCCTCCCGGTCTTTACCCTCTCGTTGCTCAAATCACCTTATGTCGCTCCAAAACGGAACGAACAAAGGTTGGATGTGGTCGATCCTGAATCGCATGTCTTCTCTATCGTCATGATGGTTAAAACGTCGGGATCACTGTTGGGCGCGCCTCTAATGATGGTCCTCTGGGTTCGAGGCATCTCATTGGGTGGCTCCGCATTAGGAATCCCGTACTTCGTGTCTGCTAGCTGTTACATTGTTGCCCTCGCTATACTCTCGAGCATTTCCGGCAGACAAAGTTAGTACTTTTTCAAAGTTCTACTGGGATTGCATGAAGCCCTCTCCGATAAGAACTTTGCCCTGCGTCCTGACAGTGCTCGGATACTGGAGGGGAAACTTGGACGGCAGCTCAATGCGAATAAATGTATTTCATAAACGACCATTACGGTGTGTTTGAAACGGCTCTGCCGTCAGTTGTGAGGCCAGCCCACTCGCGGAGCACAAAGAAGTAAGAACAGAGTGGATATGAACTGAGATCCTGCCATGTGATACCAAACACGAGTCCTGTTACCAATGTACTCAAATACAAGATCGCTCTAGGATCTCGCCCGAAAACCACGCAAGCAACTCGCCAGCCTACAGACTAGGCGTCGAATCAAATGCTCACAACGCCTAAGGCCCCATCAAAAAAATTTGGTCAAATCAGTCTCTGCTTTACCGTCTACCGTCATGTGCGTCGTCACTCTGTATCTTCTAGAAGGCTCTAGAACAGCTCTTTGTTGGTTTCTAAGGGTGTCGCTTCGGGTGTGGCAATCACTTCGGGGGTGGAGGTTCCCGAGTCCATCTTGTCGTACCCGGAGGAGTCGAACGTCTTGTCTGTGTTGGCGCTTCTGTCTGAATCGACACTGGTCTCCGATTTGGAGTCTTCGTTGGCCTCCTTGGTCGTGTCATCACCGTCCTTCTGGTCACACTCTTTGCCGTCTGCTGGGGCAGCGACGACGGTCTCAGACGCAGTCTTGTCTTGCGGCTTCGCAGACTCGGCCTTGACGCCATTAACGATGTTGTCAGCTCCCAGCTTCTCACGCTCTCCGCCAGCGTTGACCTGCGCGTTGTCGAGGTCGGCTTCGCCCTTCTTGCCCATACCTCCCTCTAGAAGCTCGCCGCCCTCCATGACGACATGGACCTCAAGGTCTTCGTCCATGGAGTAGACGCGAACACCGACGATGCAGATAGCGTTCCAAGGATCGGGTAGCCCCTCCTCCTCAGACTCGTAGCGCTCGTCGCGAGTCTTGGGTGGACCTGAAGGAGTAAGACGTGGCTTTCTGACCATATCGTCATCACTGTACAGCTCCTCCCAGTCTTCGATTGGCGAGTCCGATGAATCGTCAGCCGAGTCGTATTCAACCTTCTGGGCCGGTGCTGGGGCTGGTGCAGGCTGGGCGACAGGCTTCTCATTGGCAGCATCTTTCTTGGGCTCGCCCTTGGACTCTGTTTTGGAGTCACCCTCCACACCGTCTTTGGCATTGTTGTCCGGAACGGACTTGTCGTTTGTCACCTCTGTTGGCTTCTGAGTCTCTTCGGAGGAGCCGGCCTCATTCTGATCAGGCTTATCCTCCTTGGGCACTTCCTTGACAGCGTTCGTCTGAACGGCCTTGTCATTGGGCTTCTCTGCCTCCATCGTCTTCGTCTCCTCTTCCTTCTCCGTCCCGGCTGCATCTTTTGTCTTGGCATCTGTATCTTTCTTTGCTCCTTCTTCGACCTTTTGCTTGGCTTCTTCTGCCTGTTTCGCGGCAACTGCGTGTTTCTCCGCTAGTTCGTCTTCCTTCTTTTTGGCTTCTTCAGCCTTCTTCTTGGCTTCTTCCTCGACCTTGGCCCTTCTGCGATCTCGTTTCTCATTATTTTTCTTGGTCTGCTTCTTGGTAATCTCGCGGTTCAGATGACGCCTCTCCCAGAGCTTGCGACGCTCCTTTTGGCGGGACTCTGACGCCCGCTGCTGCTCCTTAACCTTGCGCAAACGAGCAACCTCTTCGAGGTGCGCGGCGCCCTTGCTGTGAGCCAGGTCGTACGCGGATCCGACCTGAACGAGCTTATCGTTCTCAACCCGCTTTCGGCACTCCCGCTTCACGACGGCTTCAACAGAGGGCAAGCTGGTGTCCCTCTCGCCGGTCACGCTCATGAAGATGCTGTACTCTCCAGCGGGCATGTCCGGCAGTTCAATGGATACGGATCGGTCCATAAGGTAGTTTCCGTGGGAGCGCACAATATAGTCTTCGGCGCCAGGGCGGCCACGCTCGTGAATGCGAAAGTGGATGCGGAAAACGTATTGGCCCTGAAGCCCTTTGAAGTATCTGTTGTCAAGCTGAGAGAGAACCAAACAAAGGGGGCCGTCTTTAGTCAGTTTGATCTGGAACTTCTCGTTGAACTGCGACTTCCAGGGCACGTCGACGCCGATCCAGCGTTGAGCGCATCGCCAGGCGGGGTCTCGGAACAGCCGGGTTCGGTCGATGTGCTGATACTTGCGGAGGAAATCGTCGTAGTTGATCCAGAAAACGGAGTCGTTGCCGAAATGGTGGCCGAGCTCCTCCTGGACCTCCATGGTCCATTCCTTGGACCCGTCAGACCAAGCGCCCTCCCACACGCCTTTGCGGATCTTTCCCCAAGGGTTTCGAAGTTTGATCAGGCGCTCTCCGGACTTGAGCGTCCTAGCTTCCATGATTACGTACGCGTGACCCTCGGATATGCCCTCCCTTTCGCCGTAGCCTCCGTCGAGAAGACCGGTAGAGCAACCAAAGAGAAACTCCTCGTTGACTTTGGAAAGCTCATTCTCCCAGAAACCATCGGTATCAAGGATGTCAGAGGTAAGCAGCTCAGTGGTGACACCGCCGGAGAGGTCTTCCAAGCCCTCGCCGATCCAGCCACCAGACAGAGAGGCGTAATCGCCATGGGCTTTGGCGTAGGCCTTCTCAAGTAGAGGTACCCAGGTCTCGTTCTGGTCCTTGCACTGAGCAAAGAACAGCGCCTTGGAACCGGTCTGGTACGTCTTGCGGTAGACCCGTTCCACATCCTCACGATCAATCTGCTGAAGGAGGTCTCTTTGCATGCTAGGCGAATCCCAACAGGGAGATTTAAGATAAAGCTTGTCGTCAATGATGGAGTAAATCCATTCTCCATCGCGGTAGAAAACGAAGCCGTAAATACCAATCCGGGTGTCGTATTCGACACAGGTGCGCTCGATGCCACCCTCGACATTAGCGAGAGCAGTCATGGTAGCCATGAGCCAGCAGTCTCCTAGACTGCCCTGTTTAACGTCGCCGCCGTTGATATTCTTCATGAAGGTGGGCTTCTCGAATATCTCATGGACACGCTTGACGGCCTTGGGAACGGAAGCGCTAGGATTCGAGAGGGTGGACCTCGAGAGCTGCCATTTCGTGTGGCCGAGGGTGTTGAGGCAATGGCCTTTCTCCCACTTCAGATCCCAGTCCTGGAGGCAAAAAGTTAGCTGACTGAGGACGCGTTGCTTTATTGTTGTAGGTAAACTTACCAAATCCCAGCCGGGGTCTCGGTATCGCATGTTGACTCTCCTGCACTCCTGTATGATCTTCCTGACCTTGCGGCGGCATTCTTCCGCGGCTCTCTCGTAGCCGGCAGTCAACAGCTCATTGGGCTTTTCGGAGCTCGCCGGTGGCGGCACAGGGTCGAAAGGAAGAACGGCGAGTGCCTTGTTAAACTTCTTGTCCTGGAACCTCTTCCATATGTGGTTGATGGACGGCTGGGGAGGCGCCCTCTTCTTCTTCTTCTTCTTCTGGTCGTTGTTGTTGTTTGATGCCGGGACGGGACGAGGGCGGCGAGGGTCATCAGACTCTTCTGAGGAGCTATAGCCGTGCATATTGGCGGTAGAAACAGAACGGGGGAGGTCGGAATGTGGGTTGAAGAAGTCAATGGATCACGGCGGTCAGGAAAGAGAATCGAGGACAGCAACGAGGAGCAGGAGGCGGACAGAAAATATCTTCAACTGCCAGCTCGCAGAAAAGTTCCTGCAGCCACTGTGTGGTGCGCGGGTCAGTTACGGCAAGATGGGACGAAAGGAGGGCAGCCTAACAAGGTAGCACGGACAGGCGATTCAGGCGAAACGGAACGAGGATGGGATATGGAGGGTATCTTTTGGGGGGGAGAGTTCAACACGAGTCGCGGAGGGCGGAGCTAGGGGTTATAAAGGCAAAGAGAAGATGAAGGGAGAGGGTACGAATAGATATCTGGCGGAGGGCCTCACCAAGCTTAGAATCCTAAGACCGGCAAGTGCTAGGTTTCTCCACGAACAAGTCGCAGCCTCGCGGGACGGATGGGACGATCTGAGGACAGGCATGAGTCGAGACCAGGGTGGCCGGGGGTCTGGAAAGTGGATGGCGCGCACCACAAGGAGATGGAGGGCGGACATGATCCATTCACCGCAACGAGGCGGCAACGGCGTCGAGTCGGAAGCAAGGAAGTGGTCTCGGGGGAGGCTGGCGGCATCAAAACGCCAGGGCGGACCCCAACGACTTGTCTGTCGTAGACAACATGGATATCGTCGTGCTGCTGCTGCTGCTTCTTCTTGTCACCCCTTCGAGTCCCCCTTCCCCCAACATGTGCATCCATGAGCTGGGGCAGGTCAAGGGTTTATCTTGGCGTCGAGACTAGTGTAGCCGGTTCCAGGGTCCAGACGGACAGACAGTGTCTCTTTGGGGTAGTGTACTCCGTACTTTGTAGGAGTAAGGGTCTTGTTCGTTCTGCATGGTCTAGCGACGGCGGTGGAGAAGTGAGAATGGGTAGCAAAGATGACGGGCGGGATGGCGTGTGTTGGACAAAGAGAGAAAGGCGTCGCACGGCTGGTTTCTGGACAAGATTTGGAGGCTGCGAGACGCGCCGGAGAAAAAGGGTCGTGGAGGGACCGACACGGCTTCTGTGGGGTGGGTGGATAGATAGCCTAGGTGCCTAGGCAGGCAGGTATGTATATACATGGGTACAGGGTACGCGGACGGGTTCCGTCCCGGGGGTCACGTACAGTACGAAGTACCTACCTGCGTACACTACGGTACCTACATCTGGGCATTCCACCCAATCCTGTCATGCACCCACCCAGAGGCGCTAGTGTGGTGCTCTTGCAGCGACCGCCCGATTACAACTTTTTAGCGTACTTACAAGTCCAGACGACTTTTTATGGCGGGCATGATTGTTTCAATTGGCTCTGGAAACGGAGGGTACTGCTACCCGGGTAGTGCTGCCGTTGCTGATAAGGAACGCCGCTCGCTAGCGGCGAACCGAAGCGAGACTCTTATCAGTCTTACTCTCAGTCCGAAAAAGGAACAAGGCGCGAACCTCGAGCTTTTGTTCCTCGCTGTCTTCTTATCTGCAGCATTTGCCTCCAACTTCCCGCTCTCCATCACCCCCCTCTCCCCGGTCGCCCGCCCAAGGCTTGGCTTCTCGTCTCCTTCATCGACAGCTCTTAAACCTTCCCTTGTTTTCTCTGGCCTTGTTGATGTATGTATACTCTCGTACTCAGATAACGTCCTGATGAAGCGTGGCTCGGAGAAGATACGTCTCGCCACCACAAGGCGCCACTGACTCGGCTTGGGGATCCTCCCATCAGCCCCGTCTGACGGTGTTGGTCATCTCTGCCTCGACGCACCGGCCAAAAGTCGGGAATACATATTATTTACACTTACAAATCATGGCAATGGATGGCAACATGGCCCACCGCCAGTGCCACGCCAGCCGTCTCTGCCGATGCGTGGAACGCGGGCCCGAGCCCGGACGCGGGTACGTACGACCGGATCACCTTGTTTAGTTGTACATGCAGGGAGGGTATCGTATCTGCCTGTGGCCAATCTGTCTCGGCCATCAATCCAAACCAACGTCTTCGGTGAGCTAGGTCTCTGCACGACACAATGATCCAGTTGCGGTTGTGGTGGCATCTCCAGCAGCGACCATGTTCACGCATCTGGTCGCCTCGCTGCCAGCAGGCTTCAATTCCAAAGCCGTTGGCTTGCTGCAATCGGCTCCGATGCGATGGATGGCTTAGGCATCTGCATCCTTTGACCTACCTGGTCCACGTTCGTGGCCGCCTCGTCAGCAGAGCTGGAGAGCAAACCAATCTTCTACGGCCACATAGAAAACAGAACGGGACGACTCGATGCTGGCTGGACATCCCTCCGTGTTTTTCTATTCCGGGTCGCTCACAGCAATGCTTACTTGCTCTGGTGTAGCCCTGTACTTCGGTTGGACAAGACCCGATGATCCCCTCTGGTATCCCGAGATTGCGAGATAGCTTGGCGGAATACCCAAAGGAAACCCTTGCTGCCTCAGCCCCTCGCGCCAGCGTCTCTGCCAACCACTTTCGTCCTAGGCGTTAACGGACGTTGGCGCCGGCAGGCTGCGGTCGTGGATGCCACCCCAAGCACAGCGGGAAACAGACAGCAGAATCCGGGGATGGCTGCCAGCCTCCTGTGTGTGCGAGTACACAAGAACGGCATGGGTTGCCGCTGGGCACCCACCTGGGCACGATGCAGATACATATGCAGTATCCAGGAGGTGGCAAGGACGCGTTCCCCTACTGATTCGTAGCCTCTTCCTCTTGCCTGCCCTGCCATGCCATGCCTAAGCACACGACATCCCTCTGAGGCCACTGTGGTTCTGTCAGTCAGTCCACTACACACAGCGTTCGCTGTACGGCCGTCTGCCTGCCTGCCTGCTTGCATGATCCTGCGACCCTTTCTCAGCCTCAGGATAGGTGGTCGCCTTGTCTAACAAACTTGTTTCCCGCCCGGCCATCTCACACGCACACGGCCAATGGCGCCGCACTGCATATCGTGGTTGCATTGTCCAGCAACGTGGACAAACTCGGGCCGTCGCACGTAGAACTTGCAGGCCAACACTGGCCACTCTGGCTGTCTTTGTTTCCGACGCTCGATGAACGACATGCCGGATTTCGCCATGGACGGCATGCCTGACACCTGGGCCTCTAGCATACCATTTGGGGAATGCGACCGGCGGACGCCACGAATCGGATGGCTGACATCTCCGTTACGTGCTACGGTGCTTATAACGGAAAAAGAATGCCTGGTCATGGGCACTCAACTTATGGTAGGTGGCGGTCCGTCGAGGCTTGGCTTCAGATAAGGCAAGATGTTAGACGACCCAAGTTCAGTCCAGTCAGTCATACAAAGTTATCACGAGGAAACAAGAGGCAAATCCACGGCAAGAGTCTTTATTGCATTTCAGCACCACCCGTACCTCAAATACCGGTACCGCACAGGTATCACGCCGGTACGGTGTGGATGGACCCTGATCGTCCAAACCACCAGAAACACGCCAGTGGCGACGACGCTGGGGCTGGTTGACGGAATAGCCGATCCGGGAACGTTGAGCCCCCTCCATCTGCACCATTTCGCATGAACCACCAACGGCTGTAGCGTACTCCATTCCCAACCTGGCCTGCGGAGATGCCTACACAACGTGGCCACAATAACCCAAGCCTCCGTTTTTCGGACGGATTGGCCATACTTGCTCTTTTGGGCCAAAGTCTGGACCGAGTTCCTTGTCGGGCTCTGTCCGTTGCCTGCCACACCGCTTCCTCCGGTCCCGCAATCTCCTCGTCTCTTCCCGGCTACCTCACCTCCCACTCCATCCAGACGAGCTTCCTGCAACGCATTCGTCTCGGACCTGCGTCCGCTGGTCTCGTTCATTTCGTCTTCTGCATAATCCCACTCCAAAGCGCTACGGGCTCCAAATGCCGAGAACGTGGTGAAGCTCCGTACTTGTAGCCCACACGGGCCGGAAGGTCTATTTTCAAGTCACATCTACCTCTACTCCCCCTCCCCTCTTGCTCAAGGTGCAAAAAAGACGTATCAAATCTACCAATAGTCTTGTTGATGATGACCAATCTAAATTCAAGATAGACACTTACGACCAAAACCCTAACCCATGAATACATTGCCAGAATTATGCTCGCCAGGACCGTCGGAACTGCACGGCTTTTGTCAAGGTTTGAGTTTAGCGGGACTCGCCTTGCTCGGTGAAGTGGAACGTCGTTCGTGGACATCCAGTCACCTGGTCAACTTGTAGGCCTTTTGACTTTCAACCTTCGTTGGAAAAAGTGAAATCAGCGACTGTTCGATGGTCTGGTCCAGTGACATCCGCCGCACAATGGATTCGAACCATGGTAAAGATCATTTGCCAAACGTTCTTAATCAACTTTTGGCTGCCTTACGCTCAATATGAGGGCTCAAGACGCCTACTCGAACCAAACTTCAGTATCCAAGTATCGGAGATGGGTGCTTCTGTTGTATATCGACCTAGCTCGATGGCGGCTGAACGCACATCCAACTGCTACTCACAACCATCAAACTTATCATCCGTCTTCTTAGGTCCATTCATCATACAACATAATTCACGACATGGATTCCGAAAAGCGGCAAATATCCTCCAAAATGATGGCCGCAGTCCATTGCCGCATCCAGAGGGAGCAGGGTCAGTTACAAGACTACGCCAATGCCACAACAGTTTGGAGTCTACGCGAAGAAGCAGTGCTCGCCGAACTCGAGGAGGCCAACGGACAATGTGAACAACCGACGATACTAGAGAGGTTTCAACCATTGTCCTCTATTGGACTGGAGTCATCGGAAGTGGAGCGGAAATGGCCAGGCATTGCTCGGTCGCAGTCAAGACCGGACGTACCACTTCAACGAGGACTCAGTGAGTCGACTAAACTACAACACGGGCTTTTTCAAGAACTGGAAAAGAAGCGTATGAACGAACAGACCCACGATTCCTCGACGCCGACCTTTGAGAGCCGCACCTCGGCGGTCCAAAGCAAACAAAAGGCACCCACGAAGGCGAAAACGCTTCTGGAGATTTACTACGAGGCTAAGGCGAAAGAGATCGGTGGCGAGCAAAAAGACGCAGTTAATGACGAGCAGTGATTAACGTCTCATGTCATTCGTGGCAAGTCGTACAGCAAAGGCGGTTTGGCCTCTGGTTGTACCTGGTTTATTTGGATGATATCTGGTGAGGTACTCATAAGTGATTTGGCATGAGTTGGTTGCTCGGTCTACGTTATCACCGAACGAGCAGGTTTTGGAAGAAGAATTTTGGGGGCTTTTATCATCATAGCCCCGGAGCCAAGACGTTTGGCATCGAATACAGATACCCTTTCTATCATGTTCTCCGTTCAATTCTACTCATTAACACATGCAGACTTGCGTGTTCTTTGAAGATCCAACTTTCTGATGTCACCGCATGCCCAAATGTTGTATAATCTAATCCTGCATGCTCACCTCACTTGTAACGTCTCCCTTCTTCAACACGGGCTCCTCAGCAGCAGCGATAGTACCGTAACTGGGCCCTTCGCCTGATTCCAATCCCCTCTCCTCCTCGGGCGCAAGCACAGCCCTCGCCTCGGCCCTCTTCTCGACCCTCGTCCGCCACGGGCGGTACACCAGCACGGATCCCAGTCCGACGACGACAAAAAGCCCGCAGATGCTGCCGCCGATGATGTCAAAGTGTTCCCCGATGGCATCCACGCCGTCCCAGAAGCTGCCCTCGGGCTCGGCAACATTGGCGATGAGTGAAAAGACCTGAATGATGCCGATAAAGGCCGAGACGAGGACGGTGATGCCCGTGAGAACGATGGAGTAATACAGGATGGCGACGCGGTCGCGCGAGAAGGCCTTGGACGTGTACAGGGCCATCATCAGGGCGCCGTCCGTAGTATCCAGGAGGCACATGCCAGCTGGCTGTGTTAACTCGCTTCCATCCAATTGATTTAGTGGGCGGGGAGATGACTTACCGGTGAAGAGGACGGGGAAGATGAGGATGAGCCAGATGCTCGTACCCTGCGCGCCATGCACGCTCGACAGTCCCAGAATAGCAATTTCGGAGCTCGTATCAAAGCCCAGCCCGAACAGAATGCCGAGGGGAAACATCTTCCACGGCCGGTCCACAACACGGAACACCTTCTTGAACACACTGGCCAGGAAGCCCTCGCCCTCCAACTTCAGGTTCGTCGCCGCATCTCCCTCCTCTTCCTCCGTGGGTCCGTGTCCCCGCAGCCCCCGCCTTCTCTCTTCGTCCAGAACGACGCGCAGCCTCTTGACAAGCTTGTACAGCACCCATCCGTTGCCGGCACAGAGAAGCAGCAAGAAGGCAGCGCTGACGCTGGTGCCCACGATGTTACCCACACGCGTGAAGCCGTCGAAGCGGTCCCTCAGCGCGCCGCTGGTCGCAGCGACGACGACGCAGGTGACGATGACGATGGTGCTGTGGCCCAGCGAAAAGAAGGTGCCGACGGTGACTGGACGCTGGCCCGACGCGATGAGGCGCCGGGTCATGAGGTCAATGGCGGAGATGTGGTCGGCGTCGAGGGCATGGCGGAGGCCTAGGACGAAGGAGAGGGCGGCGGGGGAGATGAGGGACGGGTGGAAGTGCAGGAGAATCCCGGCGACGGTCCAGATGAGTACGTTGACGGAGACGAGGAGAGCAATGATGCGGACCGTTGGCGCGGGAAGGACGCGGAGGCGCTCTGGAAGGGGGAGGGAGGAGAATGGGACGCGGAACCGCGTCATGGTGATGGTGGGTATGGTTTCTGGGTAGTTGCGATGATTTAGGAGTGCACGGGACGGAAAGATCATGAGATGGCCTCAGTCGAAGGACTCTGCAGCCGATGGAGCTGTGAAGAGAACAGAAGAAGAACAAGCGAGGGACGAGTGTGCGAGGAGGTTGAAGTTGGGATGCCCAGCTGGCCGGACGCAGACTATCGACGGCGAGCCCTCTAGCCCCTCGTCTACCTTCGTAGGTAGTCAATTCGTCTCATGACGGGAAGGATGACCGTTGGAGCCCCTCCATCTTTTAGGTGTTATCTTATCGCTGTTGGGGTTGGAGGGGAGTCATGTGGAGAGAGGATGAATACGCTATGTGTGTGCTACTGTTGCTGCTCCGAGCCGCCGGCCGCCGCCGGCCACGGACCCGAAGGACGGCGCCAAGATTTGCGGCTTTTGTTTCCTGATGGAGCTTTGGGCTTCTTTTTCAGGTGCTAAATTCCCAATGTCCTTGGGAAGCAGGACACGATCTTCGTCCTTTGGTCATGATCCTTTTCTGTAGGTAAGAATCAGTACAAACTGCCAAAGTCCGGCCTCCGGGGTCGATGACCGGCGGAAACCCCCCCCAAGCAGAGCGTGAGTTCTCAACCAGGCTCCGAAGCGTATAGGGCCGATGGCCTTGCCCCAAGACAGCATTGACTTCGATACTCGGTTTGTGTGTATATATCCAGAACTGGTCGCTTGTGGCCACACACTGATTGTGAAGATGGGTTGGCTGTGCTCAAGGGATGGTTGCTCTATCAGCATTTTCGAGAGCATTTAGTTGTCGCTTTTCGCCCTCTTGACTTCGCCTTCTGATCCCCTGACATCCGCAATTAAGAGTTGACTATTCACATTTTATATAATTCGTTTTTATCATAATTCCTGATTCCATAAGATGTTTACGTGTACAAACCTCAATGTTAAACCATGAGGTTGGGTCTTCACTCTCATTGCTATATCACACCAGCGATATTCCACGCATTCTCTAGAGGTGATTTCACGAAAACGGCGGGTTGAACACACTGATATGTTCACAATACCGGCTTACTTTGGTGGATGCAAGGATGACAAATGAGCAGTGGATAGGGGGGCGCTCGGCGATTACAGCGCTCAGTAAGCAGCCACCGCCAGCTTTGTCCCCTGTAATTAGGTGCCTGCCCGTGAATCGCCTCGCCTCTCTCGTCACCGTCCCCACTTCAGAGTGCAGCAGTTGGCCGAGTACTAGACAAGATCCTCAACCTCGTCGTTTGGACGGGAAACAGGACCAAACACCTCGAACGGTAACTGACAACACATGTTTCTGGAATTCCTCTTTTTTCTCTTCGCCTCCAGTCTCATAACAGCTCACAGCTGCCCCAACCCAGCCACAACCCTGACGATGCCGCAGACCTACAACAAGGCCTTCATTCCCCTTGAGTCCAACCCCGATGTCTTCAACGAGCTCATCGCCCTCCTCGGCACCTCGCCGTCCCTCCAGTTTCAGGACATCTTCACACTAGACGACCCCGCCGCCCTGCCGCAAAAAATCCTCGCTCTCGTCCTCGTCTTCCCCACGACGTCCACATTCGAGGCGCGATTGACGCAAGAGGAAGCTGGCGCGAAGGACTGGATGGTGGACCACGACGAGGAGGACGAGGACGCCGTTTGGTTCAAGCAGACGATCAACAACGCCTGCGGCTTATACGCCATACTGCACGCCTTGGCGAATGGGCGGGCCAAGGACTTTCTCAGTGAGTGGCTTATGACGTCAGGCCGAGGACCATTCTAACGCGAGACCCAGGGCCGGCATCATTGCTGGACAGCCTTCTGTCCATTGCAGCGCCCATGGACCCGGCGCAGGCTGCCATGGTGCTGGAAGGGTCCCAGGAGCTTGAGGATGCTTATGCATCCGTTGCGACCAAAGGCGACACGCCCGCGCCGGACAGCGCTGAGGACGAAGTCAACTACCATTACATCTGCTACGTCAAGTCACCGGACACGGGTCATCTCTACGAGCTGGACGGCGACAGGAAGGGACCGGTTGACAGAGGCATCCCGGACGAGCATGAAAAGGTAGATCTAGGCGCGGAATCATTGGACATTGTCCGACGATTCATTGCGCAGGGGGGGCACGATATTGGATTCAACCTCATGGCCTTGGTCGAAAATTCATAACAGCATTTGGACAAACTAGCATAGTTCCAGCGTAGCCATCTGCGTTCTCGAACCACAGGCTGCTACAGTCGCCATCGTTGTGTGCGGCATCGCCATCCTCAAGTCTTGATCTCTACACTTGTATTAATGAGGTACTCTAGCTTGCCTGAATAATCTTCTCCAGTTCGTCGGGGTCCTTGATAGTGGGTGTCAGATTTTCGCTGCCGTCCTTCGTGATCAGGATATTGTCCTCAATTCTGGTCTTGTCAGTACATTGCACGACCCTGGATGCTGCGGTCTAGAATAAACATACCTCACACCTCCAACGTCCCAGTACTTCTCCAGAACAGCGCTATCGATGAACTTGGAGTGGGCTGGGTCCTTGAGGTACGGCTCAATAATGAAACTGCAGAAGTAGATACCCGGCTCGACAGTGATGATGCTACCAGCGGGGAGCGCCCCTCTCACACGCAGATAACGGAACATGGGGTCGGTGTCGGCATAGTTGGCGTTGCCGCCAACATCGTGAGTGTCCATGCCAAGGTAGTGACCCAGGCCGTGAGGGAAGAAGGCAACGCTCGTCCTGTTCTTGAGGATCTCGTCCTTGTCGCCCTTAAGAATTCCAATCGAGTGGAGTCCATCAATGGCGATCTTGTGGGCCAGCAGGTGGATTTCATCCCAAATGACGCCCTCCTTAAGGGCGGCGGTGGTCTCTAGCTGCATCTTCAACACAATGTCGTAGATCTGGCGGGATTCCTTGCTGAATTTGCCGGAAATGGGGAACGTCCGAGTCTACCGTTTGGTTAAAAGAGTTGGTTCCCATCAAGGCCAAGCAAGGCATCACTCACAATGTCGGAGGCATAACAGTTCCATTCCGTGCCAGCATCCAGAAGAAGGTTGAGCTTGCCCTCCAAGGGAGCGTCATTGGCAACATAGTGAAGGGTGGCAGCCGCGCGACCCCCGGCAAATATACCGTGGTAAGCCTGGTTCTTGGCGCCGTTCGCAACGCTGCGTTGCAAAAAGAGAGCTTCCAGTTCCCGCTCGTTCTTAGCCTTCTTGACGTATTCGACAACGGCGTGGTGGGCAATGGTCGAAACGGCGTTGGCCTTTCTGGTGAGGGCGATCTCGTAGTCGTCCTTTACTACACGGCAACGTTCAATTGCGTCTTTCAGAATACTGAAGTTCTTTTCGTCGAACTCGAGGAAAGTGAT